AGAGAGAGAGAGAGAGAGAGAAAGTTTGTGTGTATTCTAATACAGTAGTATCATCCGCGTACGACTACCAATATTGGACACTAGCATATAGTAAGCTCCGCTTACACTTACACTATCTTTGTAACCTTTTTGTTTAATATATCTTTCTTACATCTAATCCGTGTTCCGTGTTTTCCTTCCGTGGTCCCGACTTTCGATCCACATCACCTTTGTATACTATTATGAAATACTAATTATTTAATGATACAAATCTTAATAACTAATCCATAGCTAGGGGAGAGTTGGATTCATGCCTTTCCCAATGGTATGTGCGCGTAGGTGAATGTAATGAACCCAAATAGATTTAGAAGAATTCCGAGCCATTATGCATTACACCACTCATTGTTCCATGCTCACACCACCTGATATTCCCGAGTGATTACCCAACTAGGTACTGACCAGGCTCGATGTTGCTTAACCTTGGGGATCGTACAGGAACCGGTGTTTCAATGTGATATGACCGTAGGCTTTGTCAAAAATTATTAAGAAATAAGAAAATTATATTAAAAATAAAGAATAAAATAAATTGGAATCAAATACAGTTCACAAATGGATTTGAATCCTACAGAATGATATTAGAATCGAATAGTTTATGTTAATAAATCTAACATGCTTCAGTTTTGTCAAAGCTTCATCAGAGAATTAGCTATTGAGAAAAAAGAAAACAAAAAAAATGAAAATCCTTAATTTCATAAATCCCATTCTAATTAAAAAGAACATAATTCTTTAGGTAGGAAATACTTCGAGGGTATACTGATAAATCTCTTACCATCTATAAACACACGTCAAGCACACTATATTACATAACCAACTTTAACAAAATCCATACTTAAAGAATCTAAAATATGTCGATCTACCACTACAATTAGGACAAACGCTGTTACATAAAAACGTCATCAAATATACATGCAGACAACTACCACCATATATAACTAAAATACCTACAACTGTTACTACTACTATTACTACTACTATACATATATGCAAACGAATATAAATTATCCCCTGAATTCCGGATAGACAAACTAGAATCACTTAGATACATAAATTTACATACGAGGGCTGCTTGACAAGACAAAATTCACGAGAAACTTGCTTAACTAATGAAAAACAAACAACATCCAAATTAAAAATACCTGATTTTTTTTATCTTTCTTTCTTTTTCTCAATCTCGCATTCCCTGATGAAGCTTCAAGAAAGACGAAACATGTTAGATTTATAAACGTTCCCTATTTGTTCCTTATCCTAACGAAAGAAAGCAATGTGACAGCATAATTCGAAAGCCCATTGAAATAGACAGCGATGCCATCTAAAAACAAAACTAAGTATTAAGAAACAGGAAGATTTTGTTAGAGACAAAGAAATGAATTCTGAAGTGTTATATAACACTGGACAGCCTATATGAGAGTCAATGCTTGACAATTTCATCACAATTCCTTGAATCAACCGAGATTTAGTTCTACAGAAGGATGATGAGAATACAATAGATGGAGGCCATTATATCGATGATGTTTTTAGGAAATTATTTTATTTTTTGTTATTCGTTCGAGATAGCTCGCATATTCATGTGTTTATCACGCCAACATTTACGGTCCTGCATCAAGGCTTGAATGTCATCAGGGTGGCATTCTGTGTCACTGTTCATGATGACGGTCGTCTTTGAGTATAGAATCCAGAGGTTAGCAGTGAATATTTCGAAGACAGTAGGGAAGCGTTGTTCAGGTTAGCAGTGGATATCCCGGTAAAGTAGCAGAGCGTAATTCAGTAGTTCTTCCTTCTGCTCCTCTTCGCCTGACAAGCTGGCACTGGACATTCGGCCCAGTGTCGGATCCCTTTGGTTACGGCGTAAACGGTGAAATGGCCTGGTCCTTTATACACGCTCCAACCCTTTGGGATTGAATATTTCCACGTCTTCTGATTGGTTAATTTTCTATTTGGTTTGGACTATAAACGGGACCAGAGGTCAAGTCATTGGGCAAATAAAATAAAAAGCTCACTAGTTGATAAAAGGGTAACAACCATATTAAATGTTACATAAAAACAAAAAAAAACTGCAACAGTCTCAACATAACTCTTCAATGTAGGTGGTTGCAGGAAGACCAACTTGTCTTACGCCATGGCTAGGTGTCCAAAGCAGTAGATTACTCGCAAGTTCTTGCCTGTCCGACAGCAGTGTCCTGCAAAGCGCATTCAAAGCTAAGATTGTAGAAATATCAGGGATGGATCCGTAGAGTTGTGATTTAGTTGGAAGTTGTCTCCAAGAGATATTAAGTATTACTCCCCGCACCAGACTGTATGTTTCATCAAACTTACTCAAGTGTTTTAATAAACGTCCAAGCAGTGGCACCATACATTAAAGCCGACTCTACAGCCGTGCGAAAAAAAAAGGTCCGTTTGAGGTAGTCTAGTAGTTCAAGATTACATCTATTTTATTTAAGGCCTTCCCTGGTTTAGCTATGCGAAGTTTTACATCCTTTTTCAGTAGGATTTATTTAAAGAAATAAAAAGGACATTTACACGTAGAATCAGAAAGATGCAGTTGATATTTCTAGTACCTAGAACCTTTGACACTCGGAGAACATACAGAAGGCAGGAGAGCCAGATGGAAAGAGCGAGGAATCAACCTCACGAGATTATGTAAATGATTGACAAAACGAAGAAAGGGAGGAAAAATTAAAATTTCTATGAATATTTCCAATAAGACAAATGTTCCCTAACAGCTATAAAGGACATAAATTAGTGGAGAGCTATGATCGACCACGTCTTGTAGTGATTCGTCAATCATAAAATGAATGGAATATATTGCTTTAAGGACAAAAGATCCGCGTATATCAAAATGAAAATACCTTAAAAGAAAAAAAAACTTGCTGTTATTCGTTTCTTTTCAAAGTCTACAAATTTCTCATTGCTTTCGCTATCTCTGAAATTGAGTCTGAGATTTCATCATTTGATCCAATGTTATGATCAAAGAAAATGTCATCATTCGGTCTCATCCATTAAACTACTAATAACCACACTTTTTAATTGTTTTTTTTTCACAAATGTCCAGCGAATGCAAGGCCTCAGAGCTACTCAAGGTATAGGATTACTGTGTGGAATTATATTAGCGTAGGAATGGACAAGCGTTAAGAGTATAGTGCAGAAAACCCAATCCTAAACTAGAAACAACAGATAAACCTGTAATCATGTTCAACAGACTGAGAAGGAGAGTGAACCGGACGATAGACAAACCTATCTACCCCTATTGGTGGAGAAGAGAGAAAAAAAGAGGTGAAGCAGACATTAGAAGGAACTGTAAATCAAATTTTAAACAGGAAACTAGGGATAAACCTCTACTCTTGTTCAAAAGAGCGGCGAGCAGCGTAAACCGGACAATAGGCGAACCTATCTACTCCTGTTGGTGGAGGAGAGAAAAATGAAATGAATATTGAATAAAATTTCATAGTTCAGGCGTTAAGAGTACAGGACTGGAGTAGACTTTAGAATGAACCGAAAACCCAGTCTTAAACAGGAAACCAGGGAAAAATCTTTGCTACTGTTCAAAAGACTGCTAAGGAGCGTGAACCGGACGATAATTACTTCATTGCTTTTTTTTATTTTTTTTTCTCCACGAATTCTTATACACACATCGGTGTTCCTCTCTTTTTGGACCTTCGCTGTGTAGAACAGTAATTTTGACACAGATTTGGTTGATAAAAGAAGTGCGGTTTATACACCTATACTATTATGAAGGCTACACGAACGCGACCGACCTAACAGGATCTGACGTCAAGAAATTTTCTGTCGCTTTAACGATTTCTTTTGCTTGAACACATTGTTATAAATCACAGTTTGTGAATTGTTTATTCTTTTTAATTTTATAATTAAGATTTCCTCCTTTTTTTTCGGTCCTCTTCTGCACCCAGTGTCCCACTCGAGCAAGACAATAGAATTATATCCTTGCTAATAAATCTTCTCCAATATATCTGATCAATTTTGTATAATGGACTCTCTTCGCATTATCTCTATTAAGGAAAAACAAAGAAAAAAAGGGATAAAAAAATACCTCGTCAACCAGATAATTTGATAAAGGACGAATACTCTGAAATACTTTTTACGTAAGTCCATAACGATGAAAAATCATTTTATTTTAAATAGCTGGTTATTATTCGGATGTATATGCGGGTGTCGGAGACGCCATCGATGCAGATTTTAGAAAGCGTGAACGGAGTTCAATTTCCTGCCTTCACTTTCACACAAATGACGTTACGAAAGGCATGAACCCATCTCTTCTGCCTCCAGGTAGAGCGTTAAATGTCTGGATCGAGCGGCTTCTCTAGCTTTTGGGTATCAGCCAGTATAAAATAGGGAAAACGCTGAACTCTACACACTGGAGAAAGCAACAAAAATGTACACCGTTATCCTCCCCAAAAGAATTTTTTACGTCCTGATAGGATATGTTTTAACAGAAGACGAAAAATGGGTCAGCGAAATCCGATGGCGAATTGGAAGAATAAAAAACGCCTTCGAAAACGAAAGTATTATGAAACAAGAATGTTTCGTTGGAAACAAAGCAAAGAGTAGGAAAATGCTATGTAATATCAATCCTTCTATATGGCTGCCATTTCTGGATACATTCCTCGCAGATGAAGACGTTCTTTCGCAGAAGGATGCTGAGAATGCTATGGACAAGGCAATTTTTTAAAAATACTATCGAAATTTCTGGGATTCATAATGAGGAAAGAAGAGTTGCAATATTCGACACTCACGGGACATAACGATGAAAAGAAGGACGTAGGAAAATAGAAAATAACCTATATAATCAGTTGCTGTAAGTGGTTGGCAGACCAGAAATGCCGAAATCGACAATGGATAAGTTGAGGTGAGAAATTAACGCAGATGTCCTGAAGGGATACGGCGCATGAAAGAAGAAAAAAATCAAGCTAAGAAACGCTAAACTAAATATTAGATATATAAGAATTGTTTTCAAGTATTAAACAAAACCCCACTTCGTTTTGATTTCAGTATTCAGTCTTATACCTACATTCGCTATATCACTGATAGTAAGCAATTTTACCCGTAAATTTAACATACCGTAAAAGTATTTTTTCATCAGATATACATATATATTTCCCTATGTTCAACATCTCACTCCCCTACCACCCACCACCAATCACGATTTTTAAATCTGATGTTATTTTCACATTAAGTTTCGCACGCAAGAAATCAAACAGGGAACGGATTTTTTTAAAAATTCCTCCTACAAGCAGATTCTGTTCAACTCCAAAAACTAATGTTGGATAGATTCCACCATCAGTCTGAGAATTTCTCGCATCCGCTGGTGAAGAACACAGGGGTGTTCGAAAATTTCGAACTTGGAACCTCAATCTACGTCCTTCATTATTGTCACCAGGTTAATATTAATAAATGCTTTTCTTACTGATTTCATAGGTACCGTTTCGTTTTATTGACCAACTTATGTACTGA